TAAGCATGCCCCTTGATGTGTTCACTTGTTTGTTTTCCGATGTACCCTCTATATCATACTGATGAGTGCTCGTGCGGCTTCGGCACTGCGCAACCGCCTTGCCTACTCTCTGCAATTCTGTGAGTGTGCACTGGATCATATCTATATTTTCTGTGGCGTAAATTTTGTCAAGATCGGGGTTTTCACCGTTTTTCATGGAAATTGTGAGGAGAAACAAAATTTTCATTGCAAAAACTGATCAGCCACATAGAGAGTCTGCCGTAGCTCGACCAGCGAGACCACAGCTTCTATGTGCTAGGTTTTCCCTATACCTGAGCGTGGGAAGGGCCAAGCTTCAATCGCTATCGCGGCGTGAGAAATGATTAGAGAAGCATGCTAACCAAAGAGTTGTCAAGCCTGGGCGAGAAAGACAGCAATTCGCACGAGAAATCACATTTTCACTATTACAGAGGATGATATGGAAAATAGACATGTAAACACTTTAGAAGCTAACCCAAAATTGACTATATCATAAACGATAAACGATGAGTATGGAAGTTTACCATATAATCTTGTATTGTTTCAATTATCGTATGATTTCAAAACTTGCTTCATTACTTTCCACCAATTTCTGCTCGTACACGCTGGCCACTTCGAAAGCACAGCTAGTTAAAAATCTTTTTTTTTCACGATAAGCGGAATTGCGTGGAGCAAACCAAACGCGAAATAAGCATTCTGGGCTCAAAAGTTGCCAGTTACTTTAACGGGTAACAAATCGTACTAGGTAGCAATGTGTAAATCTAGAATTCCGAAAGCGTTAACCGCGCAAGTCTCAGTTTGTTTGAGTAACAGAAACATTTTACTTAAGAGTCCTTCAAAATGTTGGTTTTCATTAACACATTGACGACCAAGGCGTTTCAAGGACCGGCCAACATTTTTAAAATAAAATCACGCGCAATTTCATTCAATTTCACTTTCTACAGTGCGACAGTTTCTAAAAGCAAAACACTGTTTTTGACCATGTATGACCTTAAATATGAGTGTAATTCTGATGAAACTTTAGCGAATAGGATCTTTCTAAAACGTCTATTGGGATCTTTTGAAAGAAAAACTTAGCGAACCAAGTAATTAGTGAAACAGGGGCTTCACAACAACAACCCGGGAACCTAGCTAATCATTTACTCGTTCGTCAGTGGTGGTTCGCGACCGACGCTCGGCAAAGTATCAGGTAGGTTGTTGGTACTAAACGTCATTTTCATTTTTGGCCTTCACGTTGTTTCTTGCATTTGATGAAATATAGAGGGTTTTTCTCATTTTTTGTCCCCTTACAGGCTACGACGAAGGCGAGTTGGCCACATCAGTCAAAATCAAAATTGTAACTATCTTAGTGAAGATTTCGCCAAGACTACTAAAAGTCGAACGTTTAAAATCTGATATCACTCTGAAAAGAGCTTCCTTCATGAACAGAACTAATGTATTACCTGTGGATCAAATTATCACAGGATATCAGTGAACATTGCTGTGAAATTCTTGAACAATTCAAAAGAATAGACATTAGAGGTGATTTAATAGTTCTTGAATACAGTTGACTATCGCCAAAGTAGAGCGTTTTCAGTAGAATGCTCAATGCACAGCGTGATTCTGTTAGTTAATGAAGTTCTATTCATTCATTCCGGTACACTATTCAATTCAAGCGCAAAGAATTGCTCAAAAACTCTCTCTTAAGGCTGCGTTCATACTGATTCCCATGTTCTGGAACTGTTCCCGCACAGTTCTCGCACTGTGCTGAGAACTGTGCGGGAACAGTTCCAGAACATGGGAATCAGTATGAACGCAGCCTAAAAACGCATACATTGATGTAGCCTTCCCATAAGGAGCCATTAGGTTTCGGGTTTTTTTTATCAGGCGTCGTTGTAATTACTGCAATTGTCAAAAAGATTAAAGATGAAAGCATCGGTATGTTGGAGAGAAAATTGGGTTTTGTGTCTGGAAAATTTTCTGATGGTCTTTGTTTACCGGATTACAAGTACTACGTGAGTCTAAACTTTCATCATTTCAGTACCTAATGCAGATGTGAAATGGCGAGAGAAGTCGAAGAGAGTGTTGATGAATGCCTTCTAGTTTCTTACTTATCTTAACATGAGTTATTTGGAACTCTAAAAAACTCATACATGTGCTCTAGAAACTTTGATTTTAGTTACGAGAAAACAGTGACGCACGCTATTCAGTAATTCCACGCGCTATTATGAGCCCCAGAAACAGATGCATTTGCGCAGGCATACGAAAATTGCTTGGATTTCGGAGCTCAGATATTTCTTAAATTCTTCTATCTTCATCGAAGAGAAGATGTGCTTCACTCCTTGAGTCTGAAAAAAATGCTAATGATTAGATTTGCTACTGCTAACAGAATAAGGCTTTGCAGTGGTTAATGTCTGCTAATGAATGTGAAAAAATATAATTCTTCGTTACAATTTCCTATTTCTGACTAATCTTGCATCGAATATTATATGAACAAGTCTTTATTTTTTTTGCAACCGTTCAATGCATAAACATTGGCGGACTAAAATGGGAAAGTGACTTCTTCTTCTCCCACTTCTTCCACCTTCCTCCACTCCTCAAGTCACGACATCTCTCGAGATGTCTTTACATGTCATAGCTCGCGGAATGATTCAAAATCCGAAGATTATGTGGAGAGCCACTGAGCTTACATGGTTTGTTTAAAGCAAAAATGCGTCAACTCCATTTTCTGCACACTGTGACTCAGAATTTCCATGAGTATTGTGAGGTCCTACACAGTTCTCAAAATTAAATAAAACAATCAATCATAATTTACCGCCCACATATCGTTCACGTGATCAAAATCATATGAAAGCGCCAGACTGCAAAAAAAAAACTCTTCCACCTCCTCGCACCATTTGCAGCCAACAACATCTTACAATAGTTGGCTCGAAAATTCTCGGACATTTTTGGACTCAGACAACTGCATCGGAAAGTTCGCGGCCTTAAAGCGTGTTATATGGCGCGCGGCGGCCCTTAAAATTTCAGCCGCGCACGACGCGGCCCATGTAAATTTTACCGGGAACGCCACGGCCAAAGTTGAAATTGGGAAGAGATTATCGGGAGAGTCGCGGCCCAATCACCTCACTCGGCGAGCCGCGGATCTTATCAGAGGCCTGACTTCTTACACGCTGTAGGTTAAGGCGTAACCCGCGTGAGGTACGCCGCAGTGATGGAGCTACCCTGAGTGTTTGCGAATTTGGTAATCGCACAGTTAAGTTTTTATGCTTACGAAACAAACTTCAGCAGTCGGATGAGTGCTATCGACGACATCAAATGATGTCGACAGATGAGCCAACAAGTTGCTCAATTTGCCCTCGAGTCATTGTCATGAGAGACAGGGCAAAAGATTCTTCACTCTTCCTAGGCCTCATAAGCATGCTAATAAACTCAACGTTGAGTAGTACTATCGGGCGCTTACAGGATACGCCGCGGTCAGTTATTCGGGTCCAATATCGTTTATACCGGGCAGCTCGCGGCATGGATGATTGGTGGCCGAGCAAGCACCCGCGAACTTCTCGGTGCAATTGTCTGAGGAGTAAGTTTGCTCTTTCTCAAATCTTAATGCAAGTACATTTTAAATATGCAGCTGTACTCCCTCTCGCCTGTGGCTAATTTCTAGACAGGTGGGAGGAGCCCACGACCAATGAAGGCGAAGTTTGTCACTCATTAATTACTTCGTTTTTCTTATTGTTTAGGCTCAAATTCTGTAGGAACTGTGCTTAGGTGTTTAAATATGTTTGTAGTATTAATTAGAGTATGTGGAGATTTCATAACGTTCACAGAAGTTGGAGATCTGGGTTGAGTCAAAATCCTATGTTTTGAAATTTTAGTCTAAATTCTCATGAAAACCATTGATGATGCTTATGTTTACCATAATTTTGTAGAGATTATTCTGCTCTAACCAACAGTATGCAGCATGCCCTAATCAGTGCTTACATCGAAACAAAAACTTCGTCTTAATGCAATGTCCGAGAACTTTCGAGCCAACCTAAAACTTACCTTTCAAATATCGACTACCACCAGTGAATTCTAATCGAGTATGACCAGCATCCAGACTTGTTGGCACTATTGTAAAGAGAGCTGCTTCTTTGTTTTCAATGAAGTACACAAGCTTTGATGAGAAAATCGTCTTTACTAGAAAAAAAAAACAAGAAAAGCGAAAGGTAAATGAGATTGTCAATACAATAACGAGGAAAGGCATGTAACTTAGTTTGGCTTTTTGTGAGAGACATATATGTTTAAAATTAGCTTTGCACGCAAACTCCAAGTATGTCATACTGAGTTATGAAAGAGCTGAGCTTATTTTGAGCTTGTGAGCTTGATTCTATGCGAAATGGCAAAATGTTCAACACGGTAGCACGCTGTTGATGTCGTAATGTCTGTAAGTTGATGAGTGTGCAAATCTTGCTTGGAATAAAATTGACAACTCGCTCAAAAGTAGTGCTTTGCAGCTAGGAATAGCTTGTTCAAAATCAAATCGAAGCAAGCAATACACTTTTTTCTCAAGGCCAAACTAAGTTAGTGTCCTTACTTGTAAGTACTATCCTCTAACAAACTTATTGTACAATGATCACGAAATCACGAGATAAACCAAGTATTGGTTTGTCCAGCAAGGTTCCAGTCAGCTTGCAAAAGTCTGCGTGCACTTGATTAGAATTTTGAATGAGATTCATTTGCATTCTTGAAATGAATTTTGGTATCAAAGCTTGAGCAGGGTACCTGCTGAAATGCATCTTTCAAAAAATAGTAAAAAAATGAATATCTTGGAAAAACTAATCATATCAAAACAGGAGAAGCAGTGGCTTTGCTGCTGCTACGAGCGCTTTGAAATATTATAGATTATGCGATTATGTCAAAAAAGCTAAACAAAACACGTACTATGCAAACCAAGTTTTACAAAAGTAAAGGAGTGGAGTGCCGCATTATTTTGATGGCTTGATTGGAACCTTTCTCCGGCAGACTTATTCAGGTTTGTACCTCTGTACAAGTGTTGTTATAGGTTCCAAATCTAACGTAATAGAAAGTGCAAACTCGGTCAAGAATTTCACCACAAACTCTCCTGTCAATGCTAGACAGTTTAGCCTGTACTGCGGGATGATCTGCCAATTGAACTTCTTCCCCTTCTTCTTCTTCTTCTTCCCCTTCTTCTTGATGGGAATCTTCCTTTTGATAGTACTGATTTGAACTTCGCAGCCAATCGGATAGTGGGCCAGTACTCCGGTACCCACAGGATTATACTGGAACAAGATTTGCGATTTATGTGTAAAGTATTGTTAATTTCTACGATATTGTGCAGTTTTCAAATCACTAAGCTTGAAAGAAAATAACGTCGCTTCTCATGACTCGAAAAAGTAACCTAGAAAACAAGAAGAGTCATTAGTTTAAAGCAAGGCAAATTAGGGGGTGAAGGTAAAAAAATAGAACACCTAGAGAATAACTGTAGATTTCTCATGGAAGAAAAGTGAGTGAACTTTCCAGTTTTTTTTTTCAGACAACACCCATATAAAGTATTTAATAGTTTCTTATACTTGCTGAAATTCAATCAGTCACTTCGACAAATTATAAACTTCGAGCAGTATCTGCGCAGTGAAGCATGTGAGGCCATCCAAAATAACACTGCTACAATGGGTAAAGGTACAGTAATCAAACCCACGATGAGTTCTGGCCTCAACGCTTAAAGTCAGAAGATATGGTCATTAGCATTTTCCGGAACCAAGTGCGCGTTATTTCCTTCTTTGCAAGTGAACGCACGTCACCTAGCTACTATCTGATAAAGCTCTATACGCTCTATTCACCTTGATAGTTTTTCATGCAGTGTCCAAGAAATCTACTTGGTAAGCGTATAGCTAGACACGTACAAACAAATCATAAAGATAACACACGCACTTGCCGTTAAAAAAACTTCAACAGAATGACGGAGATTCAACGGCGATCGCAAATCTTAGTTTTTCCCTCTTAAGGCCGCATGCACTAACATTTTTGCCGGGGAGTGGTGATAGCTTGAAAAAAGCTTCATATCCTGAAGTTCCAGATATATGCATTTCACGCTATCTACCTATCCCTACATACCCCTACTATCCTTCACTACAAACATAGTCAGCAGCAAAAAGCTATACAAGCGGCATTTTCCAACTATTGTATGATCCTGGATGATCTTCGGTGGCCGACCTTCCTTCCTTCAAATTTGTTTCTCTCTAAAACTTTATCATTTCTTCATCGAGTATGAACAAAGAAAAAATACTTTGAAATAAAGACGGTCGGGGATCAGGGGATCATGCGAGAGCTGGAAAACGCGGCTTGTACAGCTTCTCGCTTCTGTTCAATATGTTTTAGTGATTAATGATAGAATACTCAAAGGATAGGTACAGCGTGAAATGCAATAGTTGGAGCTTTTATATGAAGCTTCCTTTTAAGCTGCGATCCCCTCCCCGGCGAGGATATTAATGCATGCGACCGTTACAAAGTTACTATTAACCTTCGAATTGCCCATCAAAATCATGGCATGTCTAGGCCATCAACATTATAGTTCAACACGACCAAGATAAATCAATTTTGCACTGTTAATGTTTTAATTTTTTGAATTATTAAGTTTGAAAAACATTGGCAAAGCCTTGTACCACTTATGTTCCATATGTTGACTCAATGAAAAGTTGCTTTGCAAACTATTTTGTTTAGAGATCTTACGTTTGAGATGATGAAAGGGTAACGAAGTATTTTTGAATCTAGCCTTAAGCTTGTAGATCGCAAACCTGCAGATCTCTCACAGATCATCGTAGAGCTTGTTCTACTTCAACAAATGGTAATGCTACTTTTGCTTTTTTGGTGCTTACCTTGTCCTTACTGCATGAAAAGCGTCATTACGTCTTTCTATCCGACAAAGTTTTAACATCATAGCCAAAACAGACTTGACTTTCTTCCTACGACGAAAGCAACTAACATAAATTGCATACCTTTGTAAGCATCGCTTGGAGATTTTTCGCCACATCGTTGATAGGCGGGTACCACCTAAAAATTCAAAATGTGAAAAGGACTAAAAAACACAAAAGTCATCGTAGGCCCCTGTACGAACAGAGTTGGAGGGTGTTGGTAGTACATCAAGCCAGTTAATTTGAAGTCCGGCGCTATTCTGACCATTTTTGTGAGCGAGCAGTAGTAAGTCTGAAAAACTGGTTTATGTTACCTGTCAGAATTTTTATGTGATTCTAATTGTGAGATCTCTAATATTTTTATCTTGTTCTTGTATGATGTAGTCTTCAATTCTGTTTGTTAGCAAAAAGATTGCTCTGAATATGTGGCAAAGGAATAAAAAAAAGCATGTTACCAACCGCATTGTATTGTTCTGGTTCCTGTGGCTTTTCTGGTTCTGCTCCGTCTGGGTCTGGGCCATTTGCTTCTGCTCCCTCCTTTTTTGCACCTTCTGGGTCTTCAGCAGCTCCCTTTTCATCTTTCTCTTCCTTTTGATCTTGCTTTTTCTCTTCCTGTCCTTGTGGTTTTAGTATTTCACGCTCTTTCACTCCTTTGGCCGGTATTCTGATTAAATTCGCGATTTTTTGGTTGATCGTGTTGACCGTATTATCGCATCGACTGTAGAAAACGGTAAGGATATCTTGCTTTGACAGTTCACCCCAAGCTGCAGAAAATAGAACCTAAATGTACAATTCGCGGTATTTTTAGAAACTTGAACAACTAATTAAGAAACTCACACACAAGATAAGAACGCATTTCATTCTCCTTAAAATTCTGATTTTGGCCAATTATTTATATGTTCGTGTTCAGACACAGCCGATAATCATTGCAATACCTCATGGTCACATGCAATGAACTTTTAACATAGGCGCTTTTGTGCAGTCGACCTTTTTAAAGAGCAGTTAGCACATGTAGCTTGAAACGTCATACCCGCCGCTTGCCATGATCGCAGACTACCGCACGTCAGCTGTTTCCTGTAATTGTGCCATATCCGCACCGATCACATTTTACTTCTATTGTTAGTCATAATTGGGCGCCCTAATTTCATGAGCACAAAGGTCCTCTTTCGATTTTTCCAAGCGAGTCGCTAAACCGCGTTGTTGTCTTTCGGAAGACGAGACCTACGCCGCAAAGTACCTGCAGGCAATACGCAGCACGGTATAGGGTCCTTTGGTCCCCAAAATTTTTTGTGTTCAAGCTGGACAAGTTTAGGTGCGTCTTGTACTCGTGAATTTAGGCAAAATGTATAGCTTCTTCCTCAAGCTTTGACGGAGATGCATAGTGCAACAATTGGAGATGAAACATTACATTCCTAAAAAAGTCATCACTATGTCAGATATAATTGTCATTCATTTACACAAGCAAAAAATATAATTTTTGAATTTAATAGTTTCATAAAAACGAAATATCTTCCTTTGAGGTACATCAGAAAAATAAAGTTCAGTTTAACAATCTGATGATTTGGCTGCGGGAAAAGTGTCGAAGAGTCAGGCTTTATTTCGAAATTTTAAGAACAAGCTCTTTCCAAATTGATCAACCACACTAGAAGAGTAAGGAATGTCTGCTTGGCTGCAAATCAAAACTAAATTTTTGTTTGTGAGAAAACGGTGCATTTCAGACACTATCAAAAGCAGGTTAATCAGAATCAATGCTTGTCCTGGAATTTCTAAGCACCACTATCCTGATATTGGTTAGAACCTTCCATGAGAGACTTTTCTAGATATTGGTTTATTTACGCAAAAAGCCAAGCCTTTATAGAGCTTGTTATAATCTTCACCATGCTAATTTCTTGCCAAAGCTTTCGTCACAAAATTTATACTGATAAACATATTAGTTTTACCTTTTCTGACGTTTTATCACCTAGAGGAAAGGCAATAAGGGGAGATGCTTAAATTTTTTAAGAAAAGCTTTGAAGTTCAAGTTTTCATTGGGCAAAATCATTATTTTACACCACGTGCTACAGCTCTCAGAACGTGCAAAATTTCCATGAATGTCGCGGAAATCCGCGAATTTCGCAAAAGTCCTTTGAACTCTCGAAAATCCGCAACATTCGCGGAAATCTGCAAGTTTACCGGAAAACGCGACATTCAGGGAATTTCGCGATATTTTCGGAATATTACCATAACTTCCCTTGGAATGCATGAATTCTGGATTTGAAAGAAGGGTTATACTCAGCTTATTGAGGCAAATTTTTTGGTACATCGCTTTACCATACTTCTCGTAAAAATCACTTTTCCATGGAAATCAATCAGATCACTTACTGCCTTACACCCATTATATCCCGAAAAATACGGTAGGGTGAGAAACCAGACGATTGGTCTCAATGAGCTGAGTGTAACCCTTCTTCTAGCTCCAGAATTTATGCATTCCGAACTAGTTATGATGATATTCCGAAAATTCCGCTGAAATTCGTGACTGTCTCGGAATTCCGAGAATTACACGAACTCTGCGAAATTCTTAAAATTCCGGGAATTTTGCGACACCCACGGAATTCCACCTTCTGAGATCGGTAATGTACATCTCCATTTTGGCAAGTGGCTGTGGCGGTAATTATCAAAGCGCTGTACAAAGCTTAATCAAGCCAGCACTTTGCTCTGTTAGGAAAGGAAAAACAACTCTTCATATTTCGAAGAAAAAGGTGTGTTGCATTAGCCTTCGAAGGTTGTAGTATATACGAACTAGGAAGTTTTGACGTTATAGATCTGACGTTATAGATGGGTTTAAACACATCGGAAACTTTTGATTCAAACATTCAAAGCGTGCCACTTGGTGGTGATATTTAGCGCGCTCACACACAGATTGCTCCTCGATAGTATTCGAGTTGTGCAAACGTCAGCGAAAGCAAAACTAACCTATTCATTAGTACAGGCTCTCCGAGAAAGCCTTAAAAGTCAGCCTGGTGTAAGAAGACATGAAGACGCTAGAATTCCTTCAGCGATGTCTACACACCAACATCATGTTGAGAAGCCAAGCCTTCTGAAAACCAATGAACATACACTGCTTCTTTGACAGTTCACTGAAATGGGCAGGTCTGTTTTCAAACAAATATATTGTTCATGAAATCCTGCCTCAAATGGAAGGCTTGCCTTATTTGCGCTCAGAAAGTGTCAAGGCTTTCTTTATCTAAATTTGAACAAAATTTATACCTGACTAATTTGCTGAGGTGTGCATGAATTCGAGCTTATCAGATCGGTGTTGTTATTTTATTGAGCTGGGTAGGAATCATTACAAAAAAGTACACTGCTCAAACATAATTGAGCGTTGCCAGGCGAACGAATATAGAGAAGCTGCAAGACAATCTGAAAAGTAAGCGCTTACGCATTTTTACCGCGACTGGTGACAATGATAGCCTATAGCTGAATTTGTTTGAGAGGTATCACATTGTCAAATTCAATCAGTGTACTTTTTGTCTGGTTTTGCTCAGGGCAATAGTATGAAAAAGCACAATGGTTTTAATCGAGTTTATACTTTTATTTCGAGTCTTAGTAAAGGTTGGTCCTTTACGAAAGCGGGTGCGATCATTGGTCGTGTATTTTTCATTATGAGAGCTACCAGACATTACTTGCGCCTCGTTTATGAGCAACCACCTTCGTCTGGCTAGCCCATGCGTTGGCCAGATTTTGATTAAGTTCCATTTAGACCGCATTGCACTTATTGTCTTAACAGGCCTAATCGTGTGCTTAGAAAGTTTATACTTGTTGCTTATCTTGCCCAGATTCATTCACTCTTTAGAAACAGGGAAGAACAAACTCAAACCTGTTAAGACAATGTCCGCAATGCGGTCTCGCGTATCCTAGTATAGAATAGATAATCGATTCATAGGAAAAATTGGTACATTTCCGTTACGGACCCATTCCTTAAGATGTTCCGACGAAGAACGTGCTTTAGCTTAGAAAATTTTTTCCATAGATCCTATGAGAACTGTCACCCTACCAAATGCAAGATAAAAATTGACAACTCAGGCTCTTAAGATGTTGTTTTTAAAGTTATATCCGGTTGGTACGAGAGCAATTGAAATAACTCAGAAGCTATTCAGCGGTTCTTCAAAAAGCCAAACAACCCAGCAATGACTTATAATCATCGTCATCCTTCAAGGCGTTTCGGCCATGCGAAGTTAGCCGAGTAAGAATATAAATGATGGCTTGAGGTACTTGGCTGCCACTTGAAAAACCACTTAGATAGTGGGAAAAAGCAAACCTTTCTATTTTGAGCAGAATGTATTTATTGAACACAGGATTTTACTCTTATAGAGATAGTGCTAATTTTTCAAACCGTTTTGAAATGGGGCCATCATGTTGATTAAAACAAATTAAAACTACATTGGTAGTTACAGGCTAGACAAAATCTTGGTAAAATCTGTTAATCATTTAGACGATATGTCAATTTTTTTTGACACGTGGCAGGAGGTTTACACTTCTTTTCGTAAAGTTATGACTAAATTTGGTGTAGGTAAAGAAGCGATATCTCCTTTTAAAAAATACTCGGATAACGGGGAAGTGTTGATGTGCGAAAAATGTTGATCAAGAAAAGAATGTAAAGATTTGCATGCTCTATGAAGGATGTGACATAAAACATATCTTTCAAAGGTCAGAAACCATTGCATCGTAAATAACTAGCAGAATGTAACGTATTTTGTAGGGGAGTTGATTAACACATTGCCGACCACTTGACACACATGGTGTGTCAAGCATTGACTACCGCGTGGGACCGCTTGACACACTATGTGTGTCAAGACTTAAATTTTGTTAAAATGGCCACTATCCTGAAAAAAAAAACTTAATCCACGAGCTTTCTTTTGCACTAAATCTAGTGATGACCTCTACCTTTTTTGTTAGCGTTAGCCTTTCATATCTACTGTAGGTGTACTGTAGATGGCGGTATGCGTAATTATAGTTGAAAAATGGGGCTGGTCCGTAAAAGGCCTCGGTCCCAGAGGGCAGACAACTAAATTTCTGCGTGGTCGTCAATGTGTTAAGAACCACTGCTATATGAGAACAATATGCTATAGGTTGGCAAAAAGGTTTTTAAGCAATTTCAGACAAAAGTTATAGAAATACAAACTTACACCAAATTACTTCTGAGTGAAGTGAAAAACTAATTTCAAGATCTTTGCATAAAAGGAATCCCGCTAAATGCCAGCGAACGTGTCTCTGGCGGGCTAGCATTGGCATTCGCGCATGAGTCATCATAGCGCCAATTTCTACAGTCGCGATGCAGGCAAGCTTGCTGTGCGTTCAGCCCATAGGTGCGATAGGGGAGCCGGGCTCTCCCCAGGTGAAGGGGGTCTCGACTGTTCCCGACCACAGGTGCGATAAGGTGAGAATAACTCATCCAGGGTGAAGGGTGTTTCACTTGGTAGAGAAATTATAAAATGTCGACGGGGGGGGGGGGAGCCATGGTGTTTTCTCATCATTTTTGCTAGTCAAAGTTCATTTCCTTACCATCATTCATTACCATTTCAGAAAAAAGATAACCATCACTGGTTATCTTTTTTCTGAAATGTGAACCGATGTGCTGCTGGATTAGCATACAAGTATATTTCTGACCAGCACCTTGTATTTTTTAACATTTCTTTTTCTTTTTTACATCACCCTGCCTGTTTTTGGAATTACCATAAAAGATGTATATGTGAGGACTTTTGTTTCGGAAAGAGTTAGACAATTTTTAAACATTTACGAATATTTTAAAAAGAAGAAATTCGTAATTTCTGTAGATGAACAGCAACGTCAGCAAGGGAATGTTTTTGATACCACCCTGTCTT